TAGTAATTATAATTGAAGAATACTTGCGGATCAAACTCCGCAAGTTTAATATAAAATGATTGCGGAGCCACATCCAATTTTTTCCCGATCCTCAAACTCCTTTGGGCAACCCTCCTCAAGAGTGACTTGCGGATCATCAAATGTCTGAAAATATTGCTGCATGTCTCTTTTCCACTGCTTGTACCGTTCAGTGAAGAGCCTGTTGATGTACGCCAACATATTGTCGTTGATGTCGTCGAAATTGTAATTCGTTTGCAATGTAACAAATTAATTACATACATTAAGTAATATAAATATATAAAATTTAAAGAAAAAGCAATAAAAAGGCATGATACTTATCGACAAATAAGTGCGCACCTTCATCCTCACCTCGTTTGACATTGCCTTCCAAGACTTCTATCGCATAGGGCAATAGGTCCAAACGACGTGACCAATGTCATGGGCCAATGCGTTATGTTTCTCCAGCGTTGGTGTAGCCTGATGTCAGTCATTGTGTCCGATCGTGATACGTCCGTTAGTCAGTTGGGTGACCTTCACCTTCTTCAACTAGCGACACGGTCCGCGGGTATTTTTCTTTGCTGAAAAAAATAAAAAAAGTCAAACAAACACTACAAATTATACTAAAATTTCGGCAGAACCTCAAACTCCCTTAAAGGTATAACAATTCCCAAATCCTGGACATTGTAATAATAATATATGATATCCAACAACAATCACAATTAGGGGTGGACAAACGGGGCATGGACCCACTGGTAGGGGCGGGTTTAAGCGGTTCGAGGCGGGTCCAATTTTTTTTTAAATTTGAAACGGGACGGGGCGGGGCGAGTCCTAATTGTTGAGGAAACGAGTCCTCGACCCGGACCGTTTCCACCATCCAAAAATTTGTCTGTCTCTCAAACAATACTCTCAATCTCTCTCACTTACTCTCCCTCTCTTTCATATATATCCCTCAACTCTGCAATTCACTCTCTCGCCCCTCTGCAACTCACTCTATTGGGATTTCTATACTGAAATTGCAAAGTGTCAAGCAAATAAACATCAATAATTTGATAAACTAACCGCTATAACAGCAGCATCCGTCAGAAAATACATGAAGTCACCATCATATCAAGCTGCACATAGACTTGGTCAATATGCAAGTGACAAGTGAAAAAAAAAATAATATCCCACCGGTGGGAACTGGACTCATGATTTGCAAATGGTGGGTGCAAAGTGTGAAATTCCAACCTGGCTTGCACCAAACAACGCCCTTATTGCTTTTCCATTAGCTGTAAGACTTTGTTCAATGATATGTGTGAAGTTTTTGATTTTCCTCTATTGATTTGAGTGAAAAGAATACATTATAAAGATGTACAATGACCCTTCATATTCCAAGGTATAGAGAATACTTCCAATTTCTAAATACAATGAATAAGAATAATTAAAGAACCATACAATTAATTACAATCATATAAACTGATAAATGGGAAAATTATCTTTAACTAACTGCCTTTACTAAGAGTGGCTCCAGCGGGATGAGTTGCTCGAGGGACAGTGGACGGAGCAGGGCTTGATTGCCTGAGGGAGGAAGCTCAGCGTTGGCTGGCGAGGGAGCCCGAGCAGGCCCGAGGGAGAGGCCCGTGGATTCGTGCCTGCCCGAGCGCCTGAGGTGGGTCTGACGTCAGACGCCTTTTTAAATTTTTTTTTCGATTTGGGCGACATCAGCCATCTCTCCTTTGCTTTTCTAGGCGACGTCTCTGGCCTCATCTCCACCTCCATCCGCTCCGCCCTCAACTGCCCCCTCAACTATGCTCGATCCTACCTCACCGAACTTCACCCCCTCTGCGTTCGCCGCGTTGTCTACCTCGACTCCGACCTCATCCTCGTCGACGACATTGCCAAGCTCTCTGCCACTCCCCTCGGAAGAGGCGCAGTCCTGGCCGCCCCGGAGTACTGCAACCCCAACTTCACCTCCTACTTCACCTTTGCCTTCTGGTCCAACCCCTCTCTCTCCCTCACCTTCGCCGACTGCCACACCTGCTACTTTAACACTGGTGTGCTGCTCTGCTGTGTGTCGGAAGTGCAGCAAAAAAAAAATGGTAGAAGTTTCTAGGAAGACATTTCAAAAGGAAGAGATAAATTAATAATATAATATTAATTTATACAAAATAAGTAATATAATATTAATTATAAATAAAAAAAAATACTAATAGTTTATTACCTAGTGCCAGGGCTATTGAAGTGCAACGGTGGATATGCAAAAGGCGATTACTATTCATTAAGGGCAGTTACTGTTCACTGGGTGGATAACATAGTGTATTGCCTGGGGGGGCCTTTCCCACGGTGGAACTGCTCTAACAATACGAGTAGCTTCTTGAAGTGCAGCTTTACATTGTGGACCTGCAGACTCCAAGGTGAAGCCCTCGAGATGGCTAGTTGTAAATCTACGCAATGTGGACTGGAATTTGTATCTCAACACTCTCTTCTGGAATCTCAACTATTGGGACTCGATAAGTACACTTGCTGGAGAGGTAGAAAAACCAAAGAAAACTCTCCCAAAGGCTCTGTTTTATGCTTTGATATTAGTTGTTCTTGGATATTTCTTCCCGCTCTTAATGGGTACTAGGGCTGTTCCACTCGACCGTGAGTTGTGGACAAATGGATATTTCTCAGATATCGCTAAGATTATTGGGGGAGTTTGGTTGAGATGGTGGATCCAAGGAGCTGCAGCAGTGTCGAATATGGGGATGTTCGTTGCTGAAATGAGCAGCGACTCCTTCCAACTTCTTGGGATGGCAGAACAAGGGATGCTCCCCCAGTTTTTTGGTAAGCGGTCTCGTCATGGAACCTCAGTGATTGGCATTTTGTTCTCAGCTTCTGGAGTCCTTTAGTTATCTTGGTTGAGCTTCCAAGAGATTGTAGCTGAAGAAAACTTGTTGTACTGTTTTGAAATTATTTTGGAGTTTATATCATTCATACGGTTAAGGGTGAAGTACCCAGCTACATCTCGTCCTTACAAGATACCCGTTGGAACAGTTGGAGCCATTCTTATGTGTATTCCTCCAACCATACTGATTTGTGTAGTTTTGGCTCTTTCGACACTTAAGATCGTGGTTGTGAGCCTTGTCGCTATATTGATCGGCCTTGTGATGCAGCCCTGTCTCACTTACGTCGAGAGAAAGAGGTGGATGAAGTTCTCCGTCAGTGCTGACCTCCCAGATCTTCACGGTGCTAATCAGGAGGGTGTTGGTTCCATAAGACATTAGTAAGTCCTCAATATATATGCAAAGTCATTGTATACTGACTACTGCAGTCTGCAGGACGTTGGTGTTGAAGCAATGACTGCTCGCTACCGTATACAATTGCATTGCTCGAACACAGAGATCCGGAGAGGACATTTGCAGAAACTTTGAAATGTAGGATGCATGTTGTGACTTGTGGGAGGGATGTATATTGCATGTCCTTCCCTGGAGGTGACATACAAAAATAAGAAATTTCACCAACTCCTAGTCTCCTATAACTTCTGCGTTCTAGTTTTATAATTCCATCATTTCAAAATTCATGTTTTAATGCATCATTTGATTCAAAGATCTTGAAATTACATTGAATTCAGAATTGCCAAATCTTTCTTGCAATTGAAAAGCTCCATAGTTCTTTGAATTTGCTACACATTTTTCTTTTTGACAAAGCAATATTCCTTATGTACGAGAAACTTGAATTCAGGTGTAAGGAGCGGACAAATTGAGTTCCCTCCAAATCTGCACAATACACATAATTAGGGGTGGGTTCGGTTTAAATCGGTTCGGTTTTTTGCCAAAACCGAAACCAAACCGAAATTTCGGTTCGGTTCGGTTCGGTTCAATTTTTTTTCGGTTCGGTTTTTTCCGGTTCGATTTCGGTTCGGTTTCGGTTTTTTGTTTTTATTTTTTTTCAAAAAATGAAAAACATTGAAATTTTAAATTTTAACATATCCAACACAATCATAACATAAACATTCTAACTAGAATAAAAAACAATGAAAATAAACATTTAAAGTTGAACTAAAATCATCAATCAAGTCTTTCAAAGTCCAAACTAACAACCTCACAACACAAAAATCGTACAAATGACTTAGAAAAGTTAAATTGTATGATGTTGTTCAAAGATCAGTGTTGTTTGCTTGTAACTGCATGTTGACAACTTGATTAGTAAAGGTAATGCGTGGATGGATTTATTTAGTGTGTGTTGGATTCTTTTCCATCACAAATTACCCAAGTAATCTACCCGAAATAAATGTTTATGGATTATGTTACATGTTATATGAGAGTAGATTTGGAAAAGAAAGCTGGCGCAGAAGTAGACAGTGCTATGGAGATGGATGTAGGTACTTCGAGAAGAGGTTTGGTTCCGGAACCTTATATGGGGGAGAAATAATAGGTTAGGGTTTAGAGTTTTTATAGGCATTTTTTTAATATTTTGAGCTTAAAGTTTGGCAACACATTGGGTTAGCACATTTTAACTTACAAATTGGGTTTAGAAAATAATACCCAAAACAAATAATTAAATAAAAAAATTAATTTAATCAATTCGGTTCGGTTCGGTTTCTAGATCACTAAAACCGAACCGAACCAAAAGAATTCGGTTCGGTTCGGTTTTTTCAATTCGGTTCGGTTCGATTTTTTCGGTTTCGGTTCGGTTTGGTTTTCGGTTTTTTTCGGTTTTCAGTTTTTTGAACCCACCCCTACACATAATTATGGTGTTTCAAGTACCATAACTGTTATTAAAATGATATACCAAATCCAACGTTACCCGTGATGCACCGAAATAATAATGAAGATTGTTGAAGATATAATATGTGTTTCATTAAATATCATCCGTACATTTCACTCTGCGTCAAATGCAACGTGTACATTTTGCAACTTCACCTTTTAGTTAGCAAATAATATCCAACAAAAGGAAATGATAAAATTCAATGAAGGTCGATACAATTATTATTTTTTATTTCTGTATTTTGTTAGCCCAAAATTTGCATATAAAATCCCGTACATATAAATAGACACCTGTCAGGGGGCCAACTCCATTTTCTTAGAAAATTTGAAATTTTCAAAACACAGAGCCGAGAGAGGGAAAACTGAAAGAAGACGAGTAAGCGACCGGAGAGATGAAGAAAAGCGGCGGAAGTGGAAGCGGAAGTCGAACCCGGAGATGCTTAACCGCGAACTTTCTGGAAGCGCGGTTACAATTTCCAGTGGTTTCTTCCCCTGCAAACCAACCGTCACCGAAATCGCCAATTTTCAATACCAGCAGCAGGCGCAAGAGGGAGGCCTTCGCTGCCGGAGGAGGAGCCTCAGCCTCTGTTGTGGCGGCGCTCATGGAATCCCCCAAAAGTAACGCTTTAGCTTCGATTCCTGATCTCAAGCACCTCGCCTCCTCTCGTCTCCGCGATATCAAGCTCCACGTCGACAGATCCCACTCTGAGTTGGTGGATTAGTGTCTGTTTGGTTGCTGAGAAAATACCTGAGAAAACAGAAATTTGAATTTTCGCCAAGTAATAACATTATGTTGATTTAATCTCACTTTCATATCATAATTAAATCTCATTACTGTTACAAGGTCTGCTAAAGCAAAATAAATTTAAATCTAATTAATTCTTAATTATAATTAAAACTTAATGTCTATTTAAAATAAGGTTTTGTCTGCTGTATGATGAACTAGTACTCAGTGGTAGTAATAGTTAGGGAAGAGGAGCATTAGAATTCAGTCTAGGGCACGTTTTTTTCACCTAATTATAAGTCTCTTTGTGCCGTCAGATCCAGAGCCAGGCATGCCAACAAGTGTTGGATGAAGCAGATAAGGAATACAAGAAGATGACCCAAAGGATTACTGAAAGTCGGGAAGCAATGGCGGTATATTAATCTAGTCTTTCTTTGTTTCGTTTACTTACTTCTGATTGTATGTTTGTAGTGCTTATTCATCAAGTGCATCCTACTGCTTTTTTATCAGGCTTCATATGCAGAGTTCATGGCAGATGCACAGACCACCGCTTCTCGTGGTATGTCTTCAGTTTAAAACCTCTCTGACATGCTTAAAATATGTGGATTTTTTGTAAGTTATGTCTTGGTAATAATGTCGTACTGATGGAGTCTGGATTCAATCATCTCTACTAACCAACATTCTATGTTGCATTATCATCAAAACATTTGAGAGACGTCGTTCATTTTGAGGGTTTGACAAGTGATTATTGTGTCCATATGTGGAAATCGTTTTTAATCTCATGTTCGAAGTGATACAGGTTGGATAACATTTCTTTATCTGTTAAGTTTCACATTGCTATTAAAACTATTGGGACAATAATGGCTAACTATTTAGTGTGCTAACTTAGGTTCTTCAGTTTGTTAGCTGTTTTGTTTTCCGTTTAGTGTCTGTTTTTTCGTTCTCTTCGCTGCTCCCTTTTAATTAGTTCCCGACCCTACGCTGGAGCTTGTTCAGGTGGGGTTTTAGGCTTTGTCCCTTTTGAGTTTTCTTGTTTGCCTTGTTGCCTTTGTTCTAAGAAGCGAATCATTGATCAAAAACAAGATATTGTATAACTGCGGAGAAGAGAAAGAAGATTGAACAAACAAGAAAAGAGTGACAAATAATAAATTGCCTCCTAGGAGTCATTAATAAGATTTATAAGTGCTTGGTAACAAACTAACAATCTATCTTGAGCCAACAATGTATAAACTACTGTTATTCATTCTGAGTACTTTTTCTCTGGGTTGTATTTCATACTTTTCAGCTTGCAAAACATCAATTGCTGAGCTTTCGCAGTCCTTTGAGAAACAAATTGATGCTCTTCGCAGCCGTTATGGCATTTCAACAAATTAGCAATCAATTGTCCTTGCAATATGATCTACTGAAAACCTTAGGTGAGTGTTCTACTTTTTAAAACTGTTTACTGCTGGTGGGATAATTCAGTTTTATGTGTTTTTAAGTGTCTGATTATGCTGTTTTGTTTTACTGCATATGCTATACATAAATTTACATTCATTACAACCTGTACTAGATTTGAGAAAGAAAAAAAGAGGAGAGAAAGTAGGTTGTGAGTCGTAGAGTATCGGATGGATGTTCGTGATGGGATATTAATAAATTGCTAGAACAAGGAGACATCTTTTAATAGATTCAAAGGAGTTCAGATGCTTGTGCTAATTCATCTATTTTGGTGGAACATTGTTGGATCAATTAATCTTCAGACTCGTAAATGTCGACCTAACAAGCAAATATAACACTTAATATAAACAGCTGCAGAATGCATATCTCCAAGTTTGAGTGAGAAATACGACATTACTTGCATATCTCCACCTATGTTTGAGTAAGAAGTATGACAATACTTGCGTGTCTCCAACTATGTTTGGGTAAGTTCCAGTAAGAAGTATGACAATACTTGTGTGTCTCCAAACTAGACGGAGACAAGCGATTTGGGGAGGGGGAATCGAATTTAGTTCTATTTCAATATAACCTGCAAAAGTATGTATATGAATTATGATACCCTGAGCTCGTTTATAGTTTATAGCCCTCGTACCTTCATATGCAGGTTTTTTACATTGTTGGTTTGTGTTTTCAGGCATGTATAGTGGTGACGATAGCAATCGAGACTCTGACAAATCTTGAACAAGAACGACTGATTGGATCAAAAGGGATTTGAAACCATAGCTTGTTGCGGTTTCATTACTAAACAGAAAACTGCATTTTCAAAGTATTTTTGTGGTTACATGATGAAACACAGTCATTGGGTTGTGCATGAGTGGTTGAATGTTACGCTAGTAAATAATTTAGACCAGTGCTTAGCTTTGTGCCTAATGTGTCTATTGAGTTAAGCCCTAAATAATTAATTAGTTCACAAAGTTTCCTCCCAAGGCCCTCAGCCCAGCATGCTAGCGGGAGGCCTGGCCCGAGCCGGCCTCTCCTTCTCTCCCTCGCTCCTCTCGCCTGCAAGGGCCCGTGCTCAGCAGCCTTGAAGACCCGACCCAAGCCGGCCTCCTCGCGCCCCAGCATGCCGATCCTTCCGGCCCGAGCCAACCCAAGCCCCTGGCTTAGGCCAGCCGACCCTCTTACCGCATCACCAGCAGTCCTGTGGCATCCTTGCCACGCCACTCACGCCTTCTCGGCCCCTGCTCAGCCAATTTTTCAAATCCCAAAACTCCCATAAAAATTCAAAAGAAAATTCAAATTTTTCTTACCTTGGTGCGGCATGGAGAAGAAGAACAACAATGAGAGATGACTTTGCAAGGGCAAGAGAAGAAGAAAGCTAGGGGAGGGGGAAGAAAAATTTCCTTTGGGTTCTTTTCCTTATTGGAATAATGATTGCTCTCCAAATTTTTTTAATTCCTTGCTTAAGGTAGAATTAAATAGGTATTGAGGGCAATTGGTTTTCTTTTCCTAGAAGAGGTTTATCTCCAAAACTAGAAAGGAGATCAAGTTCAAATTGGGAAACAACTTTACAAGCCAAGCGGTTTGGGATTTCTACACCTACTATCATTTTCCTACGTGCAGCCTGTGCCTGGATTTCACTGTTATAATCTACGTGTTTATATTATTGAGATTTTATACTATTTTTCAGGAATTTATATTAATTTATTTGAATTTAGATTTTAATTAAACCAGCTACGAAGTTTGAAGTTTGGATTTTAATTATTTAAAGGTCGTTGACCTTTCGAGGTCATAATTAATGTTTTCAAATAGATCTTGAAACCATGAGAGCATAGGCGAAAACCGTTTATGAGTCCGGATTATAACAGTATAGTTACGGACATTTGAATCGTTTACTAAACTATAGTTTTTAATTAAATAATTCTCACTTTGTGGGAAATAGGCCAATCATGTAAGAGTTAGTGTGTACCAATCAGAAAAAAATGGGAGGGACCAATTAGAAGAAAGGTGGGGGCAGCTAATCAGGAGGAGGACCTTCCTCTTACCGTCGACCACACCCACGACAAAATCGGTTTCGACCTGATTCTAATTTTGGCCAATTTCTACCATTTTTCAGGCAAAATTCACCAATCCAACACCTGAAAACTAGTCGATAACCTCGCCTCTACCATGTCTACCGAAATTTGAGGGTTTTTAGGCCCAAAATCGTGAGGAACTCCATCAGAGCACTGGAGGTGCTCGACGGCGATTCTGCCGTTTCAGCGAGTTACACCACCCATCACCACTCTTAGTCAACTCCCCTTGGACCCAGGAACAAGACCCAATTAGTTGTAGGGGCGTCAAAACACCGAGGAAGGAGAATCGAAGCTCAACCATTCTAGGGTTCCGAAGAGTGCAAGCCAAATTGGACTTGGCCATGAGTATAAAAGTTGCTTTAATCATTGAGATCTTCATTTATGTGAAATTTGGTAATTTTTGGAATTAGTTGAATTTTTCAGCGAGTTGGGACGGTCGGCCACCGTATGCTGCAGCGTGTGGCGGCGACACGTGGGCCGAGGCACCCTTGACCTTCTTAGGCTAAATTTGATACCCCAAGTTCATATGTGAAGTCCAAATGACGAAATCTCATCGTTTGAACATAGTTTTATTAGAGGTTGCCACTTGATTATTATGTGAATTGACGATCCGATTGTTGAATAATCATCAAACTTTAATATATTATAGAACATAATATTTGAGGATATTAGGAATTTACTGATTGGGAATCCGACGTATGGATCTTTTCGAATTTGGGTTGTAAGTTTCGTAAAATAAAATGTCGACCGCCACCTAATTCTAGCAATTGATGGAGATTCGACTGTCAAATCGTGATGAGAATTTAATATGTTGTTCTATGAGCATAATATGGACCTTTAGAAGTTACGGATCCGAAATCCAACATACGGATCTTCCGGATCGAATTATGTAGGATTGTGGACCCTACTGTTAACCAAAGTCAGACTTTTGGTCAACATGTCTCAAAAAGTTCTAAATACTAAAATGAGTACTACGGGAGACTTTAAGTGAAGTCTAGTGGGTCTACATTGGTTAGAGAGTGACTTGAACATATGTGATATGGCTATTACCTTGATTTCTTATATTAGTATCATTTGTGAATATGACTTGGTTTTATAATGTGATTTCTATTGAAATGTGATTTTATATATTTAGCCATAGACTTAAGTTTATTAAACATGATTTGGCTTGTGTACTAATGATGAGTGTGATATGTGATTTGACGTGCATATTTGAAATGTGGTTGATTTGCATAGATGGTATGATATGATGAAAGTGAGGGCTAGTAGTGGGCCGTTAACCCATTACCATGGGGTTTGTTGCTTCAAAACTTGTTTCATATCCCATTTCATTATTTCATTTCTCGCTTCGTTGACCGTTCTAATTTAATACTTGTGCTTTGTTTCATTTCGCTGAGCCATTGTAAATTGAGCACTTGATTCATGAGTTGTTTGCTTGAGCCGTTGATATGTTCCTTGGTCCTCTGCGATTCTGTTGAGTGATGGTCTGGAATCTTATCCATTTGGATTCCGTTGAGTGATGGTTTGGAATCCCTTCTACTCCACGATTCTGTTGAGTGATGGTTCAGAATCGTATCCACTTGGATTCCGTTGAGTGATGGTCTGGAATCCCTTATACTCTGCGATTCCGTTGAGTGATGGTCCAGAATCGTATCCTCTTGGATTCCGTTGAGTGATGGTCCAGAATCCCTTCTACTCCGCGATTCCGTTGAGTGATGGTCCAGAATCGTATCCACTTGGATTCTGTTAAGTGATGGTCCGTAATCCCTTGTACTCTGCGATTCTGTTGAGTAATGGTTTGAAATCGTATCCATTGACTTGTTGGTTCCTTGGATTTGATATTAGTTTCAGAGAAGTAGGCTTCGACCGAATTGTGTCGTTCTAGCCCTGCATTTCGGTGTATGGTATGTGTTATTGATTGGGGTGATTATTGGATGATGTTGGAATGCATAGGTGTGGGTGAATGGCAAAATGATTAGAGAATATGATTGTGCTTCGTCGTTTGTTCTTTGAAATATTGCATATTATGCATTGTGGTATATTGTTGAGACATAACGATTTATGTGATGATTGTTCGAGCATACTGAAGGATGAACTACAAATGGCTTGATCCTTGTTTAGGGTACATAGGCAATCTAACAAAGAGGTTAGATGCAGCTATAAAGTGTATGAAAAATTACTATGCAATTCGATTCTCAAGTCGTGATTTGCCATATCCCGAAGGCAGGGTATGTTGAGATACAAATATTTGGTGCCATCACGTGTCGATCATGGACGTATGTCGGGATCGGGGCGTGACATTTGTGGAGCCTAAAATAATCTCAAAAATTCTAAAGGCGACACGTGAACTTTTTCTCAAGAAAGACAAGATTTCCCTTAATAAATGGGTAGGCTTCTCATATGCTCTCACGCTTAGCTCACACCCCTGAAGGTCTCAGCAGCTGAATTAGACTGCCCATATCTCACTTGCCCTTGGCAAGGAATTAAAGATAAGGACTAATTACCCAAATCCTATCTTTAATACATTCCCAATTGAAGATTGACTCTAATCAAGTAATCCCAATTTAAATAAATTAGGGATAATTACTCTATTATCTCCTATTTAATATCTTGAGAATATTTTGAGAATATTTCTCCATAAATACCTTGGCCAATAGGATGCCGTCATGTGTATGGTAAAACCCTAACACTATGGCCGGCCCTATCCCTATAAATACCCCATAATCTACCAAATTTTCAGAGCTTTTGCTACCCTAAAAAAGCCCTAAACACTTTATTCTCCTTAGAGAAACTGACTTAGGCATCGGAGATCCATTGGCCTAACCCCCCCCCCCACCTCGTGGGCGTGTGAGACTTTGGTCTTTGATCAAAGGTGTTGATTGTTTTGCAGATGCATTTTCATCAAGACTGAAGATGATGAAAATTTGCATTGACAATGTGCATTCATATAGGAAACGAGAATCACGTCATTGCATATCTTGAAGATTATAATATCAGTTTACTTGCCTAGTTTTAAGAAATAAACCCAAATTGATTGTATTCTAGTACATAATTCCAGTTTCCTTTATTCTAGGCTGTTGGTTTCATAGGAAATCAAGCCTATCATTCATCTTTGCTTGGTTATAAGATTTGAGCATAAAAGGTTTAAAGCAAAGTTCTTGAGTGCTAGGTTAGAAGAGTGATCTTAGTGAAACACTTCATACCTTTCATATTATTCATCATATTCATTTGTGTGAAGAAGTTGTGTTCATCTATGTGACGAAGTTGAGTGCAATCTCTTTAGTTGTGAGGAGAACCTGCTAAGTGCGTCGTGTTCATCCAAAAGAGAGCAAAAGAAAGACTGTGTGCTACAAGATTAAAAGTACAAGAGAAAACTTCAAGTGTAGTAGATGTCGGTCTTGTTGAGTCTTGTAAAAGTACTTATTTCTCAATGGTTCTTTAATCGTTTGTGTGCCCATGAATTATATCGTGAGTCTTTTGTTCTTTTTTCTCTATTTCATTTTGTTCCTCACTGTTACATAGTATGATTGAAACCGTACTTGAATCCTCTTTTGAAATTTTAGTTGAGATTATTTATCTATTGGGTTTGGGTTCCTCGACCCAGCTATGTTTTCAAAGTAGATGCTATATCACTAAAATTCAACAACACCTTTGCAATTGCTATAACAAGATATCCTCTGATTCACTAAAAAAAACAAAACATGTCAAGAGGAACCATCACTTTATTAGAGATCCTTTGTACGTCAGATAATGTGATTGAATTACTCTATTGCAAATACGAGGATCAAATTGTGGATATATTTACTAAGGGTACGCTAAAAGAGAGTTTTGTTTATCTCAGGGATTTGCTGGTGTTAAAACTAGAAACAATATGAAGGAGAGTGTTGATGCCTATACTGATTTCTAGCTTCCAATTTTTGCACTAAACAAAAGTAATGGCTTACTTTTTTCTGAATTTGTAACGGCCAAATATGTCGACTCAATCCAAAATTACAAATGTAGAGATGAGATAGATTTGCTTTGGTGTGAGGTTTAGAGTTGCTTAGAACAACTGGGGTCTTGAAGGCTTTTGTTAGCTAGCTAATTTAAATGAGATGTAAGGTGGTATTGTGACAAAAAATCCTTGAAGTATATAAGTGACGTTTAAGTTGCAATGTTCTGCCCTAAGCCGTCACTTTTCTCTGAACTCCTCGTGGGTTTGTTTCTATTTTCTTCAATAAAATACAACTAGATTGAATCATGTATTTGAACATGCCGAACACGAAATTTGACAGGAAGTTCAGTGTTCAGAAATTAAGCACCGAACATAAGAGTTGAGGATTAGTTGATAGCCATGAACATGGAATCGGGGGTTCGGTTAACCAATGCTAGC